TAATGTAACCACAAAGAAGATGCTAAAAAAAAGAGCTACGTTTCTCCATAAATTCAGAGCTGTTGTTTCTTTACACCCGAATTAAATTATTTTGAAAGAAACAAACATTTTGTTCTAATTGCCTGAAATGTTGGATTATTTCAGTTTTCTTTCCAACAACAGCTCTAATTTATTCACTCGTTTAACTGAGTGACAAACATCAGCTGAAGCCGGCTGATGTGCCGAACATTCTCAACCCTCAAGACTGCAAGTCACATTTTATTTTTCTTTATCAAAGCCTGTTTTGGTAAATGTGTTGACCGGCAGCTAAAGCAGAGGAAATAAGATAAAGTTTAAAATAAATTTACATTTTTAAATCTACATTATCTGATTTGTTTAAGTTAAACGATCATTTTGCTGCTATTTAAACTTTTTTGCGTGTGCTGAATATTGTGCACATGCAATATTTACTACAATTTCCAGGCGTGATTCAATACATTCAGACGAATGAGGCACAAGGGATGTGATGAAGGGGAATGATTGGGGTGGTGGTGGTGGGGTGCATTAATAAAAAGATGTCTGAGAACTTGGAGCCCAGTTAGTCACGTTAACTGCAGCGGTGCCATTGAATGTGGACGCAGAGAGCAGAAGGTTCACAGGACCCCGGCCATTCTCATGCAAAGTCCGTCAGAGTCCTCCCTCAGGCCGTCCACCCACCACACACCCACGCCACCACACACCCACCCGCTCCCTGCCTCTGATCCTGCAAAGGACATGTTTACAAATGGGCATGCACTCAGAGAAGGGTGCCCCCTTTTCTTAATGCAAGGCTGAAATGTCAGATTACACTAGAAACTGTGAAATAAACCAGTAAAGAACCATTAGAGATTTTTGAATTACTGTTATTTTTTGTGCAAAAACTGAAAATGCATACAAATGTGTTGTTTTGCATGACATTAGACAGTAAAGTGCATTTAAAGCAAATAAAAAAAATAAAAATCATTATTTTGTTTTTTGAAAAATAAAGCATTAACTTGAACTCCCTGACAGGCAAAATGTGCCTCATTCACTCCCTGACAGGGAAGAATAATATTATCGCTGCAGGTTTTAACAACAATATTCAACATGTCTTAATGTTAATATGAACTAGTCCTTATTTCTGCTTGCAGGCTTTCATTCGTTTCTCCTGATGCAGACACTGGAGGAAGCTACAACTCATCTGGTGGGAAAAAAAAAAAATCTAAATGCCAAGCGGTGAAAATGTCAGGTGCAGCCCAAGCGCATGCAGCTATATGTTTACCCTCTTTAAATGCAAACACCCCATGCAAATGAATGCATTAACCGCCTCCAGGCCTGAAAGAGTGAACAAGCGAGTCCTTGCTGTGTGTGTGTACATGTGTGTGGAGGTGCTGAGATTTATGTGCTCAGATTTATGCACACCACAGTTCTGCAAGCAAGCGGAGGAGGAGTCTCCATTTGTGCAAGTGTGAAAGTGTGTGCCCTCTCATGTGCACTTGAAGCAGGAGATGGAGTGAAGGCCTGAACGCTCCCTCTAATGGAGGAGAGGAGCCCAGCAGCTCAGTAATGCACTGACCTCAGAGCTTTTTACAACGCTGCCAGCCCATAAGTGGCAATACGCTAGATCTTGTAAAATTAACAAGGCTGAGGAGTGGGGAGGGAGTTAGAGCCCTGGGATGGGGGTGGGGGTGGGGGGTGGGGGGTCACCACGTACATCTATAGCTATGTATATGCACACAGCGACTGTAGCTTTTCTAGCGTGAGTTTTATAGTCGCCGACGCTCAATTAGTAATTTATTCACCCATTTTGTGGCTTTTGGGGGTGTGTGTGTGTGTGGGGGGGGATTTTACAGGGGCAACATTTACAGGCCTCTTTATGCGAGATAAACCGTCCTTGGAGGCATTTTAATACCTCTGTATTTATGAAGGTTTCCTTGGAGGCTGGTGCTGGTAGCTAACATTCAGAAGGATGGCATCCAGCCTGCATGGCTCCTGCAGACTGCCACAGGAACCTCTGTGTGTGTGTTTACCGTGTGTTGAATGCACGCGTGCATCAAACAGAAATATTCTGCAGCTGTGTTTTTGAATAAACAGGATCTGGGCTTAAATGCTCGAGAGAGAAGAAAAAAAGTGTTGAATGATGTCGGAGGAGTTGTTGCTGTCATCCGCATCTTATACAGCTCTGAAACCGGCTTTATTTCCCTGTAACCTCGTCACCTTTCTCACACCCCGCCAGGCTCAGTGTGTGTGTGAAGCCTGTATTTTGTGCACATTTTGTCCTCTGTACGGTGTGTGTGTGAGAGAGAGAGCAGCTTTTGTCTGGTCACGCTCCAGCAGGGGCTTCAAAGTGAATTATTCATGCAAGATTTGAATACATGCAAATTGTCCTCTCTCCTCTGCTGGCACTGATCCAGGTTACCTATGGCAACGGCGCCTTCCAGCAGCATCTTTTCAGCCCTCCTCCTGCTCCCCTCAGCACCCGCCCTCCGACCACGTTATTCACCCAGTCACATTGTTTCCATGTTGCAACGCCAGGCTGGTTGGCTACTGGTGGCATCATTTCCCATAATTCACAGTCAAGGTCAAACGAGCAGAGAAGATGGCGAGGTGGAGAGTGTGCATGAGGATCCCTCCATCCTGAGCCTGGAGGTTCAGCGTAAAGCTGGAGAAGCAACTTTGTAGCAGAGTAGGAACTCAAACATGATTCTGATTTAAAGGTCAAATCTGATTCATTAAAAAAATGTACATTAGAGGAAAAAGTCAGCTTTGACACGCTGTGTGCTTCAACATCTTGTTTCAGTAAATATAAAATAAAATTTCAGGTTCAAAGAGTACAAAAGCAACTTTTGACAAAACAATAGTGAAAAAATACATTTTATCCACATTATTATTATTAAATGAATGTGTTGCTACAGTGAGGTTGTGTAACATGTATTTTAATAAAACTTAAATAAAATAAATAGGAAAATAACTTAGGTATGAGAATTAATTTTTTTAGGCAAGTGTGTCAAAATGCAAGTCAACAAAAAAAACTGCTTTTGTGAAGTAAAATGACAGTTTGGTGGTGGTTACATTTTCTATAATATAAATTGTTAACTTAAGGTTGACGTAACAATTATAACAATGATATATTCATATTTTCTTATTTTACAACAGTTGTATTTGTTAATTTAGTTCAATCCATTTCTCTAACACACAAACTGTACCACTGTAATTAGTAGATTAAATATAAAATAAGCAGAAAATGTGTACAATAAAATGAACATATTAAAGAAAAGTAGAAAGAAAGCCTTTTTTTCAGTGACGTAAACATAAGGTCAAGTTCAGGCCATGAAGAGTTCGACTCTAATCAGCTCTAATGGTCCAGAGAGCGAGGCAGCTGCTCCATGCTGCCATCTAAAGAAAGACAAGAACACTCAAACAAAATGCTTCACACATAATAAGACATGTTCCAATTTATATGAGAAATATATGAGGCTGTTATGTTGCTTTTATTCTGTATTCAAAATCTGAGTTTCACTAAATTTTGAAGAACCAGACGAGTTCAATTAGAAAACAAGAAATTTTCTCAGGAGTGGAGTTTTAAAGTGAGACCAAAACTAAAGTAGGTTCATTGTTGAGAAAATGGATTTTGTGCAACAACAAATATGAAACTAGAGAAATTGCATTTCCCACGAAAATGCAGTGGGAATGCTTATTGCAGAAGAACATGCTGAAAAACAGCTGAAATTAGCTATATAAAAAAAACACATGCTGAAATGTAGTTGAAATGAAAGAACAAGCCTAAATTAGCAGAAGAAAGCAGAAAGCACATATTTGCTGAACAAGGTTTAAATAAGTATATGAGCACAAAAATTTGGAAAGTTGCTAAAAAAAAAGAAGCTAAACTTGGCAAAATCAACATCTAAAAAGTAGCCAAAAAGGCAGAAAGAAGCTTAACCTATAGGAAGTGGAAAGAGCTGAAATGAGCTAAAAAATGTGGAATTAATTGAAAAAGCTAAAATATGCATAAAACAGCTAAATAGTAGCTGAAATAGAAGAAAAGGCTGAAACTAGATGACAAAGTTGAAAGGAGCACAACAAGTTGAAATTAGCAGAAAAAAGCTAATTATGCTGAAAGAAGCTGAATTTACCAAAAATACTTGAATTGATCTCAAAACAGCTGAAATTAACTACATTTTTTCTAAATATTAGCTGAAAAAGTAGAACAAGCTTGTGTTAGCAGAAGAAAGCAGAAAGAACACATGCTTGCCCACTTTGGCTGAAAGAAGCAGGAATTAGCACTAAAAGTACTAATTATCTGACACCCCCCCCCCGAAATTAGCACACAATAAAAACAGCTGAAAAGTAGCTAAAAAGGCAGAAAGAAGATGAAATTACAAGAAGAAAGTTGAGAGAGAACATTTTTGCTGAATTAGGCTGAAAAAAGTATAAACTAGTACAAAAATGTGGAAATAGCTGAAAAGGCTTAAATTAGCATCAAAACAGCAAAATATTAGCTGAAATAGTAGAAAACGCTGAAAGGAGCAACAAGCTGAAATTAGCAGAAACATTTTGTAGTTAGCGGAAAGAATCTGAAAGGAGCACAAGTGAAGAAACAGCTGAAAGTAACCATTTTGCACAAAGGTGAAAGAAGCTAAAGCATAACAAAATGTGAAAGGAGCAGTAAAATGTTGTAAACACATCTAAAGATGTGAATTATGTAAAATGAGCCAATTCATTTTATACGAGAAAAAAAATGACAGAAAAGGCTAAATTTTTCAACAAAACTAAAGTTGCATCAACACCAAGTCACTGCAGGATTGTCCTGAAAGAGCTGAACATTTTGATTTATGATTTGTTGAAATAGCTTCAAAACTGCGGGAAGTGAACCGCGCCAAAAAAATGCACGGAAGAAAAATGGACAATGTGTGAATGCTTCATACACATCACACAGATATCACATTCAAAATGTCTTGTTCTTAGTACATGGCTCCCTCTAGTGGTTAAAATCAGACCCTGCTCAGAATAAACCCTTTATTGTTGAGTAATGCTGCAACATCTTTGGACCAACTTTACATTTAAAATAAAGGAGACGAACAGCATCTCTCCTTACACATAAAACTTTTGACTGAAACAAACAACGCTGTCCAACCGATTCATAAAAACAAAACAAAGTCTGTACAACAATGTGAGCACAGTAGAAAAAAAACAAACTGATCTCAATATTATACAAATGAAGCCAAATCTGTAATATACAGTATATGTATTTATTTGTATGGTATGTTCATCTGCTTATAAAAGTTGGACAACATCACTGCGCTTCAGTGCAACTGTGATATCCTCGCCCTCCCAACTGTTCTTTTACACCTCAAAATCTGCATAGTCAGTTTTTATTCACATGTAATTTCCTGTAAAACAATCAGAAGCAAAACTGCTAGTTTTTTTAATGGAAAAAAAAAAGATGAAAGAAATAAAACAGTTAAAATAGTAAAAACATTTGATAAAGTGCAAGCATTACTATAAGGATCTCTCTGATGAATGTAAAGCTGTTTGTCCTCTGTCATCCATCATTTGGATGATTTTCCACCAGTTTTTAACACTAAACTTTTTGCATCCTCATGCTCTCACTGTGAATAATGTAGTTTGCCATGAGGCACATCTTAATGCAAAACAGATCTCCTGTCCTCTCGTCCTCCCATCTGAAGGAGTGTACCACAGGTCGGTCCAGCACGGAGCAGGGACTCGTCACCCAGTCAAGACAGACTTGATCCTCTGAATGTTCCTCCTCTGTCAAAGCTCTCCAGCTGCCACACCGTTCAGTGAATGAAGTAGCCCATTTGATGCAGCTTCAGCAGAAAGCCGTGTGTGATGTCGAACGTGGTGAAGCTGATCCCCACTGCCATGGGACCTTTGAGCCAGTTCATGCTCAGGCCTTTGTACAGTCCCCGTCTGATTCCTTCCTGCTGTACAATCTCACGCATTGTCCCGAGAATGGTGAGGTAGGACGACCCCGTCACGCCGGCTGTCTGCATGCGCCGCCGCACCACATCCAGAGGGTACGAGGCAGACTGTCCAATCAGGCCTGAACAGGCACCGAAGGCCAGGCGCTCGTACGGATATGGCTGGGATCGCTTTGTTTTTTCTACAGGCACAGAGAATGCACAAAAAATGGTTGAACATTTAAAAGATGTCTGCTTAATTAGCTACATCACAACAGAGCTGAGGTCAAATCTGACATGAGATCAGCACCTGCATGCAGCTTTTTGAGGGTCTCGTATGTGAAAAATGTGATGCCTGCATATGGAATGACACCCAGGATTGTGGGGGAGAAGCCTCTGTACAGTGTCCTCACACCTTCCTCCTGGCTGATGCGCACAAACACGTGCATGATGTTGCTGTACCTGTAGGAGAAAAATGCATGGCATGTCAGAAATGATTTACCTAACAGGTTGGAATCTTGCAGAACACCAAACATTTTGGGACAATTACTGTGAGAATGTTTAAGAAGCACGCACACTCTGATCCATTTTTCTTCTGTATGTTTTCCACCGTGTTTCTCATGCCCCAGTTTTCAAGTTATTTCAACAAATCATAGAACAAAACGTTCAGCTCTTAAAGGACAATCCTGCTGTGACTTTTGGTGTTGATGCAACTTTAGCTTTTTGAAATATTTAGCCTTTCCTGCCATTTTTTTTCTCATAGAAAATGAAATGAGCTCATTTTACATCCTTCAAATTTTTAGATGTGTTTACAACATTTTACTGCTCCTTTCACATGCTGTTCTGGTTCAGCTTCTTTCAGCTTCCTTGTGCAAATTCAAAACTTTTTTTTGGCTACTTTCAGCTGTTTTGTGCTCCTTTCAGATTCGTTCTGCTAATTAAAACATTTTTTGTGCTTCTTCTAACTTTTTTCTGCTAATTTCTGCTCGTTATGCTACTTTCAGTTTATTTCTACAAGTTTCAACTTTTTATACTATTTCAGCTACTAATTAGCTATTTTATGCTAATTTAAGCATTTTCAGCTAATTCCACATCTTTTGCACTCATTTCAACATTTTTCAGCCTAATTAAGCAAAAATGTGCTCTCTACACTTCCCTCTTCTTTCTACTTTTCACCTGTTTTTTTTTTTTGCTAATTTCAGCTTTTTTTCAGATAATTGCTACTTTTTTGTGCTCATTTCTGCTTCTTTCAACCTAAATGGACAAACATGTTCTTTCTGCTTTCTAATGGTAATTTAAGCTTTTGAGCTAACTTTTTAGATTCTTTTTTTAGCTAATTGCAGCTGGTTTCAAATAATTTCAAGTTTTTCTTGTAATTTCTGCTACTTTCAGCCTAATTAACTTGTTTTTGCTAAATTCAGCTTGTTATGCTCCTTTCAGCTTTTTTCAGCTAGTTTCAGCTTGTTATGCTATTTCAGATACTATTTAGCTGTTTTATGCAAATTTTAACTTTTTTCAGCTAATTCCAGTTTTTTAAAAACTCATTTCAGCTCTTTCCACTTCCTTCTCATAGATTAAGCTTCTTTCTGCTGTTTAGACTTATTTTTAGATTTTTATTTTTATTGCTAATTTTAGCTCTTTTTTTAAGCTGATTTACTCATTTTTATGCTCATTTCTGCTTATTTAAACCTAATTCAGCTCTTTCTGCTTTCTTCTGCTCATTTAGGCTTGTTCTTTCATTTCAGCTACATTTTAGCATGTTTTTTAAGCTCATTTCAGCTGTTTTTCAGCAAGTTCTTCAGCAATAAGCATTCACACTGCACTTTCACTGGAAATGCAATTTCTCTAATTATGAATACAGTTTAAAATAAAAATGTATCTGGTCTATAATTTACCACTAATGACTGCCAAATGACACCATTTACAATCAGTTTAACATGTTTGTTTTTTGAGTTATGTGCTTGGTACATGTGCAGATATTTGACAAAATTGGATAATTTCTTGACTTTTTAGATTTAAAAAACAAGTGAGCCAACATTTAAAAAAATTGTTGGATTTTGACCTTTCGAAGCAAGAAATACAAACAAACAAACAAAACAAGTGTCGAGACTTTTGCTCAACAGTGTACCTGAAGATGCATACACTGCACTACAACTACTAATTCTACATCTATTGAATTAAATGTTCTATTAAAAATACAGAAAATATGAATTAAGTTCATCAATAATAAATTCAAACAAGGACCAGACACAGTGGTGCCTCACAGCAATAGGATCAATACAGCACAACAATAGGAGCTGACATTTTTGACTGACATCATATTGAAAACCTACTAGTAGTCGTCAATAAACAAATTCATCAACTTTTGGGATATAAAAGTCACGTAATCCACTGAGCTGCTTACATTTCTCTGGCAGTGACAGCCATCCTGGCTCGCACCATGTCCAGTGGGTAGGTTAGCATGACAGCAGTCAAACCGGCCAGAGAGCCGGCCAGGAAACGAGGAAAAGGAGGCAGAGCTCTGAAACAAACAACACAGTAAGAACAATTAGAATATGCAACATTACAAGCTAACCTTTATTAACTGTTCTTAAAAATTAAAACAAAAACACACTAAACGTGAAACTTGCTCTTGGAGTTTGTACCTTGACAGCTGAATGCTAGTGCTAAGATGATAGCACAGGTTCCCAAAATTTTCTGTTTCTAACCCACAAGATACCAGAGGCACAGACTCACAACCAAGACCACCAAACAACCAAATACAAAAACATTATTATAAGAGCCACTAGAGAAACTGCATTTCCTGTGGAAATGCAGTGGGAATGCTTATTGCTGAAGAACTTGCTGAAAAAGAGCTGAAATGAGCTTAAAAAAACATGCTAAAAATGTAGCTGAAATGGAAGAACAATCCTAAATTAGCAGAAGAAAGCAGAAAGAACACATCTTTGCTGAATTATGTTTAAATAAGCAGAAATGAGCACAAAATTGAAGAAATTAGCTAAAAAAAGAAGCTGAAATTAACAAAAAAAATGCTGAAAAGTAGCTGAAAAGACAAAAAGAAGCTTAAACTACCTGAAGGAAATGGAAAGAACAGAAATGAGCTAAAGAAAGTGGAATTAGCTGAAAAAGCTAAAAATTAGTATCAAAAGAGCTAAATGGTAGCTGGCAGATCAGAAAAAGCTGAAACTAGCAGAAACAAGCTGAAATTGACATAAAGAAGTTAGTTAGGTTGAAAGTAGCAGAAATGAACATGAAAAACTTGAATTTATCTGAAAACAGCTGAAATTAGCTAAAAAAAAAAAGCTAAAATAAGGTAACCGAAAAGGTATAACAAGCTTAAATTAGCATTAGAAAACAGAATGAACGTTTGCCCAATTAGGCTTAAAGAAGCAGAAATTAGCACAAAAAAGTGGAAATTATCTGAAAAAGACTGAAATTGGCAACAAAAAAAGCTGAAAAGTAGCTACAACAGCTGAAAGAAGCTTATTACCAGAAGGAAGTGGAGAGAGCACATTTTTGCTGAAAATGGCTGAAATGAGTGCAAAAATGTGAAATTAGTTGAAAAAGCTCAAATTTGCACAAAACAAATAAATAGTAGCCGAAACAGCAGAAAAAGTTTAAACTAGCACAAATAAGCTGAAAGGAGCAGAACAAGGTGAAATTAGTAGAAAGAAGTTAGAAAAAGCACAAAAAAGTTGTAGTTAGCCAAAATATCCTGAAAGGAGCACAAAATAGCTGAAAAAACAACTGAAAGTAGCTGGAAAAAAAGCTTAAATTTGCTCAAGGAAGCTGGAAGAAACTGAAGCAGAACAAAATGTGAAAGTAGCAGTAAAAGGTTGTAAACAGATCTGAAGATTTGAAGGATGTAACATGAGCTCAATTCATTTTCTACGAGGAAAAAATGGCAGAAAAGGCTAAATTTTTCTAAAAGCTAAAGTTGCACCAATACCAAAAGTCACAGTACCCTTCTCCTGAAAGAGCTGAACATTTTGATAAATGATTTATTGAAATAGCACAAAAATTGTGGAATGAGAAAGATGCTCTAAAATGTACAAAAGAAAAATGGATGAAAACAGTGTGACCTCTTCATAAACATTCACACTGTTAACACAAACCATCAGCCCTTTTAGTGAGTCTGTGTATTTTTAACTACAGTGTTGATCTAATATAGATATAGGGCAGAAAAGAGTCATTGTTTGGCCAAAGAATTTCTGCTTAAAAGAAAATATTGTAGCTTTTCTCTTATATTTTTTTCTTGGGATGCTGCTTACAATGTTCTGTCAGTTACTGTCCACTACAGCGCACAATCCAACTCTACCCACGACCAAATCAAGATAAAGACAGATAAAAAGAAATGAAAATGGCTTCACTGGTTTGACGGTTTCTAGGCTACAGAGGGGGGGTGGGGGTTGTAGGCTGCTGCCTTGTTGTTTCAGAAAAGCTGCGTATTTCCATCCGAGTGCACAAAAAACTTTTTTTTTTTAAAGATCTCCACTTTGGAATGGGCTTCATAGTTTGTTTATTTCCCTAAAAACACTGTGAGCAGTGAAAATGCAGCTGAAAATCGTGTTATTTAAAAATATCTGGTGACTTTTTAATTAGATTCTTCGGGATCATCTTTGTTGGTGTTTCACGACCCACAGTCGGGTTCTAGAACATAGTTTGGAAACCAGTGACACAGCTGATGAGCAAATACAAAGTTCACCATCATATTTAGAACATCACATGCTAACACGTAGCACATCACAGGCTAACATGTAGCACATCACATGCTAACACGTAGCACATCACATGCTAACACGTAGCACATCACA